CCTTTTATTAATATATCAATTTACCTTTTCTTCCAAAGCATTGAACTCCTGCGTCTCCAAGATGAGAGCAAGAACGAACCTTTCCCCAACCTCCATGAGAACAATTTGATATATTTCTTTCTTTTCCGGTACAAGAAACTTGTGTTAACCATACTGGTCCAGAACGGGGAGGAAGTTTTCCACTAGAAGAAGCGTTAATAGCCTTTTTATAACCAAGCTGACGACATACAACCCTAGCATCTTTTATATCCCATCCATCACCACAAATTGTTCCCCATCGTCCGCGATAGGATATTTCGACGCGCCCAGAACCATTAGAACTCAATGATCCTTGTAACCTTAGTTCAACAGGAATACCTGTGACATCTGAAAGAGCGAATTTGAAGTCAATCCATCTGATCTGGGTATAAAAGCAACCAATCAGAAACCAGATCCTAAACAAAACTGAATTATCATTTCCTTTATTTCATATGTCTTTCAAACACGTTTGTTTTCATCCGACTGCAAATTATAATTTAAATTTTTTTTGCCCTATATAGCATTATTTGAAAGAACGAGGACAAATAACTCGACACGCGTAAAAATAATCTTTGTCGAGATGCCTAATGACGTCACCATCTAAGATTAGCTGGATAAACCTTTCCGATAATGACGTCACAACTTTATTGTTTCATATTAATGCATTTAACACGCGCGAATTTTGCAAGAGTTAAAAAAAGCCCGCAAAACACTAGTCGAAGGCGAGTTTCATTATTTCATAAAGTTCCAATTGGTCCGTTGAAAGGTCCAATTCTGGAATCCGCCAAATGTGTACCGGAATTTCGAACTTTGTTGCGAGAAAACTCACTAGTCAGTTTCTCACCTTTTGTTGCGCATTCAACACCAACAACTTCATCATCAGAGCAATGTCTATCCCCCCATCTACTAAGAGAACAACTTTCTATATTTTCTTCTTTCCCTGTACAATCGATGTATTCCAACCATATCTGCTTATAACCGGATGGAATCTCATGTCTTTGAAGAGTCCTAACAACATATTGATAATCAAGTTGACGACATACAACTTTAGCATCTTTCATATCCCATTTTCTATCATGATCACAGATTGCTCCCCATTGTCCATTGAAGAAGACTTCAACACGACCAATTCCACTTGCACTTGACGGGCCTTGTAACCTCAGTCTCAAAGCTGATTCGGAAAAGAATAGAGGAATATATCAGATGAATAATAGTTATATACTTGTAATTTAAGTAAAAAAAATAAAGCTACTTAGGATATTTAGGAAGTTACGAGGCAAAAAGCCTCGTTTCGAAAAGAAACAATAATTTATATTGCTTACGATAAAAATTTATTATAATCATCCGATATCGAAATTAGCTTTTAGATTACATCCCACTTCAAATTTCAATTGCAAAAATGTACTATCAAGGTAGTACCCACATTTTTGAGATTACATAAATATAACAACAATGAGTAAGACATAAGCAGACAATTAAAATGAATTAAAATTATTGGAATAGGGTTAACTCGAATTGGGCTATTTTGGAAGCTAAACTTCAGTTGCTCTAACTAAAAGATGCAGAACCGACATCGACTTCTACAACTCCCTTAAAAACTATTTTACCCTATGCACTTGATCACTTTTAGATGATTTACTCAATCGTTCACTTTTACTTCTATACTAAACCAGGGTTTTTTCCTGCCTGACATCAAATTTTTATACGACCATCTCTGAAGGTATCGATGTTATTGTTCCTTAAGGTATTATAGAGCATAGGTTCTTTGTGGTTAAATATATGATAAACTTTTGGCATTTCGACGCTCTTGTAAAGAGGCTGGCATTTGATACGACAGCCTCAATTTGTTCATTATTTCAAAAATAATATGTTATATAAATAATATGTTTAAAATTGAAAGTAGCTGAATACGCCAGTACGTTGATGACGTAAGAAGGAGGAACTTCGGCCCATTTGTTTCTATTTCTCAGACGAAGCCAATTAGAATGCCCACAAATGCAAAATGGCAAATATTGTACCCAAGATTTATTTGTTCTGATTGGTCTGAAACGATCGAAATGCCTCCTTAACTTGTTTGCTAACATACAAAAAGGCGCTGTTACAATGTACAATTTTCCTTACAACTTGGAATCAAAGTTGTAATTGAAATGTCCGTTTTTTAAAGACCATTCGAAATGCTAAGAAAACGTTAGCAGATAATAAGAAATGTTCGTATTTAACAACTTTAGATGCCTCACGAGTAGAATTGCATTCCGAGTTGTAAGGAAAGCTGCATAGTGTAACAGCGTCTATCTCAGTTGCACACTTCACATCATCCCAAATTTTCTACATTGAACTTGTTAAGTTTTCACTACTGAAAGGGTTGCCTGAATTGACTAAAACCCAGAGCATAGAAAATTGCTCGTCATGTGGATCACAAGGTCACAGGTCCAAGGTCAAAGCATCACAGACAACTTAAAGAGCGATAAACTGTATGATTTTGCAATAATGCAAGCAGTATACCTTAACTAAAAGTAAAACTAAAAATACAACAAACACTAGTAATAAAGCGGTAAATTTTTTTCTATTAATTTTTGGAAATCTTATATATAGACCTCATACTACAGTATAACACTGTTCACGGATGAAATATTTATTAAAGTTACTATCACTTTAATTATGCCTTTAATTTGTGTCAAAAAAATTCTGCATTTTAAAGTGAAAAAGAGAGTGATGATGACTTTCCTATAGTGTGTAGTTAAGACTTAGATCATGTTTTGTGAGACCACCTATACATAGTGGTGGAGGGTCCACAAAACATGATCTTTCCCGAGGAGATCAGTCAATAAGTGTTTTATTATATAGCAAAGTTTCAAAGGAAACAACGGGTGAGGTTCAAAGGTCAAATGTCATGTATGTGACGTACATCATGACTTCCGGTTTTATTAACCCCAGGTTGTTAAAGGTATTTACACCCGATCAAACTGGTTCAAACCTGACAATAAAGATTTTGCGGTAAACATTCGATTTTCTCGTGATGTAGTTTTTAACCAATCAGATTCTGGAAAAGATGAACTTTGAAACTTGCTATAAAATAATACAATTTTCATCCTTGCTCATCCCAAGTACTACCACCGCTTGTCATACATTAATAAACTCCGAAAAATAGCACAGGATTTCCAGTGTCTTGCATTATATAATTTAATCGTATTACACTCACGAGACAGCAGCACTAAGAACTAAAACAACATTTGTATTCACGACAATCGGTTTGATCCCTAATCTTTTACCTGCATTTTTGCATTCAACTCCCACGTCTTCACGATGTGAACAACCATGACTCCCCCAACAATCGTGAGAACAATTTGTTATAATTCGCTCATTTCCCGTGCAATTGACGTACGATAACCATATTTGACCTGAACCAGAAGGAACCTCGTTTCTCTGAAGAGTTCGAACAGCATCTCGATAACCAAGTTGACGACAAACAACCCGAGCATCATTTATATCCCATCCATCATCACAGATTGTTCCCCAATATCCATGATATAATACTTCAACACGACCAGTGCCATTGGCACTTAATGGTCCTTGTAATCTGAGTCTGACAGGTACACCAGTGAAGTCTAAGAAGAATAGAAGAATGTGTAAAATCAATCCAGAAATTGTAAATCAAATTACAAGCAATACAAAACTACTTGAAGAATTTTTGTTTCTCCCTTGGAATGGCCTAGTTGTGAGATTACTGCTTGTTTTTTCTTTATTGCACATCCAGCAAATTAAAGCGCTTGACATTAAAATATATGGCGTAGAGTTTCAAAGATATGTCTAAGATATGTCTAATCGTTTGAAACAACACTAAAGAGGCTGTTCAGGTAAAATGACTCTGACGCATTGAAATGAGTGAACAACGTAATCCAGGTAATCGTGTGGTCATCCTAACAACAGCATGTGCTTGTCTAGTTTCAAAAGGACATATTAGTGCCTCAAAATCATCTCATGCTTCGTTGAATCTTGGGTAATTGGCTCATGCGAAAACGCCACGATGCCCTGTTTTATAACTTACCAATCGTGCTGCAATGTACACCTGCCACTCTATCAGAGGAGCAAGAACTTAACCCCCAACTATCAGAAAAACAACTTGTAATATTCTGTTCATCCCCAAGACAACGGACATTTTTTAACCACAACGGTCTAGAAGCAGGAGCGAAAAGATTCCACCGAAAAGTCTTTGCATCGTCTGGATCAGTATAACCAAGTTGACGACACACAACCTTAGCATTTTCTCTCTCCCATCCACGAGCACATATTGCACCCCAATATCCATGATGGAGTACTTCAACGCGACCGGTACCATTCGCACTTAATGGGCCTTGTAATCTTAGCCTCACAGGGGTAGCTGTAAATACTTAAAGAAAAAATGGAGTGTAAAAAGCCATTGTAGCGTTTGTTCTCGTTGTAGTGGTTGTTGTCGTTGTCGTCGTCGTCGCTGTCGTTGTTATCTTCGTTGTTGTTGTTGTTGTTGCTGTTCAACATTTTGTACTCTATTAATTCAATAAATACGGTTGTTTAATTTTAAGCTATAAGAATATATATATATATATATATATATATATATATATATATATATATATATATATATATATACACCCATTTGCAAAAACGTTGGCCGCAGATAGATAGATAGATAGATACTCGAAGTCTAATTAGAATTGCATATGAATACATTTGTATGGGATTTCAATCATATTACACAACATATGCAATTCAAATTAGATTTCGGGTATCTATCTATATCTATCTGCGGCCAACGTTTTTGCAAACGGGTGTATATATATATATATATATATATATATATATATATATATATATATATATATATATATAAGAGCTGAAATAAATCATAATTCCGGGGGAAGGGCACAAACCGGTACCTGAAATGAAAGTCTTTAAAAAAATGTTAAAACTTCATATTATTCTAAGACGTTTTTAACATTTTATACCTGTTGTACTGCATTCTACGCCGGCGTCTTGAGAATGATCACAACCGTAAATCCCCCAACCTGGATGAGAACAGCTTGAGATATTTTGTTCTTCGCCAGTACAATTGACGTTATCTAACCATATCTGTTCTGAACCAGAAGGAACCTCGTTCCTCTGTAAAATCTTTGCAACATCTGGATAACCAAGTTGACGGCATACAACCTTAGCATCTTTCATATCCCATCTGTAATCACAGATTGTCCCCCAATATCCATGATAAAATACTTCAACACGACCAGTGCCGTTTTTACTCGATAGTCCTTGTAACCTCACTGTCACAGGTATACCAGTGAAATCTTAGAAGAACAGTAAAGTGTCTGAGATCTTTATAGTCATATATTCGTTTAAACATCCTTTTGATCGCTAACTTTTTACCTGTTTTTGTACATTCAACTCCTACGTCTTTTTGATGCGAACAACGATGATTTCCCCAACCACCGTGAGAACAATTTGTTATATTTTGCTCACTTCCGGCGCAAGAGACCCCAGATAACCATATTTGGCCTGAACCAGAAAGGACCTCGTTTCTCTGAAGACTTCGAACGGCGTCTTGATATCCAAGTTGACGACAAACAACCCTAGCATCTCTTATATCCCATCCATAATCACAGATTGTTCCCCAATACCCATGATATAATACTTCAACACGACCAGTGCCATTCGCACTTGATGGTCCTTGTAACCTCACTGTCACAGGTATACCAGTGAAATCTTAGAAGAATAGTGTGAGATCAATACAGTATTGTTAATGTAAATGCTTGAATGAGTTTTTTCTTTTCATTGCATGGTATTACCTTGAAAGTGAATACCGACAGCAATGTTGTAATATCTATCTAAGAGTGGATTTTCATTCAGTGCAAAATGTCGCGCGATCGTATTTTTGCGATTGCTTTCTTTTTGAATGTGCTTTGACAAGCTCATCTCTTGGTATTAGTACGGGCTGATTGTCTATTTGCAAAGGAAAGCGATCGCAAAAAGCCGATCGCGCGACATTTCGCACTGAATATAAAAATCCGCCTTCAGAAAGTTAACGTTTCAGTAATTAGCGGTAACATCTTTTGGTACTCTTTCCGGCATTCATTTTAGAGCTACATTTATAAAAATAGCCATCAAATTTGTTATTCGCGTTCGGAGAGAATATGGCGATTAGGGTTGACCATATTTATGTTCTCTTCTCCCTGAACTCTTTTTTTCAACTCGGTTTTGTTTTGGTATTATAGGATAAAGAATAAGGAAAAATCATCAGCATTCTTGAGATTAAATTATTGAACACAAATTACAACAACGTTTAACGAACATGCATTTGATTCTTATTTTTTTCACCTGTATTCGTGCATTCAACTCCTGCGTCTTGATGATGTGAACAATGAGTTTTGCCCCAGCCATTGTAAGAACAATTTGTTATATTTCGCTCATCTCCGCTACAAGAGACGTACGATAACCATATTTGACCTGAGCCAGAAGGAACATCGTTTTTCTGAAGAGTTCGAACGACATCTCGATAACCAAGTTGACGACAAACAACCGTAGCATCTCTTATATCCCATCCATCATCACAGATTGTTCCCCAATGTCCATGATATAATACTTCAACACGACCAGTGCCGTTTTCACTTGATGGTCCTTGTAACCTCACTCTCACAGGTATGTCGGTGAAATCTTAGAAGAATAATGTGAGATGAATACAGTAGTTATGTAAATACTTGAATGAGTTTTTGCTTTTCATTGGCATCAGGTTGAATCTGAATAGCCATATTGGAATATCTATCTAAGGGTGGATCGATTTCCATTCACTGCAAAATGTCGCGCGATCGGGTTTTTGCGACTGCTTCCTTTTCGATTGTGCTTAGTCAAGCTCATCTCGTGAGAGTAGTACCGCCTGATTGTCTATTTCTCAAAGGAAACGATCGCAAAAAGCCGATCGCGCGACATTCCGCACTGAATAAAAATCCGCCTTAAGAAAGTTAACGTTTCAGTAATTAGCGGTAACATATTTTAGTATACTCTTTCCCGCATTCATTTTATAGCTGCATTTATAAAAATGTCGATCAAATTTGTTATATGCGATTCGGAAAGAATATGGCGTTTAGGGGTGATCGTATTCATATTCTGTTCTCCCTGAACTCTTTTTTCAACTCCGTTTTGTTTTGGTATTATAGGATAAAGAATAAGGAGAAATCATCAGCATTCTTGACCGTAAATTATTGAACACAAATTACAACAACGTTTAACGAACATGCATTTGATTCTTATTTTTTACCTCTATTTGTGCATTCAACTCCTGCGTCTTTATAATGTGAACAATGTGTTTTGCCCCAACCATCGTAAGAACAACTTGTTATATTTCGCTCATCTCCGCTACAATAGACGTGCGATAACCATATTTGACCGGAACCAGAAGGAACCTCGCTTCTCTGAAGGGTTCGACCGGCATCTTGATACCCAAGTTGACGACAAACAACCGTAGCATCTTTTATATCCCACTTGCGATCACAGATTGTTCCCCATCGTCCATTGTAGAATACTTCAACACGCCCTGTGCCATTTGAAGCTAATGGCCCTCGCAACCTTAATGGAACAGCTGTGGAATTGTAGAAAGATCATTAAATCATGATGATGGTCCAATTTGGAATTGCTGTAATGCATTGTGTTTATTATTCAGTGGCGTAGCCAGCCTGACGATTTTGTCTCGCTATGTAAATCTCATGTTGTTGTAATTATTCATGTCTTTAGAAATTCATTGTTTTCACAATCAATGAACACCAAAATATTAGCATAGCAGGACAAATCGTCAGGCTGGCTACACTACTGTTATTATTCATAATCTTGTTTTTTAATTTCCTATCTATATTATACATCTAAGATCATATCGTTTTGATATTTCATCTTATTGACATTATGTCGTTTTGCAAAGACATAAGTAGGAAAGTAGGAAAAGTAGTCGATATCCGAGTAAGAAAAGCTATCACACTATAACTACAAATATTCGCAGCATAAATATTAGAAAAGTATCATTTCACGTTTAATCCCTTCAGCCTTTTGAATTTTTAACAGTTACTGAAGATGTAAAGTTTAGAATTTAGAAATTGTAACTGAGCCAGAGACTAATAAACTTTGTGCTTATATTGCAGCTGAAAAACTGGTGACGTGAACTTAGTGATGACTATAATTTGATTTCATGTTATAGTAAATCAGCTTTGATCTCGTTTGACTCATCTCGTAATCATTTAAAGGCTTTCATAGTGTTAGTTTTGAAACACCTACTTGTAGGCAAGTTTAGTCCTAACACCTTGACGCCACGCTATCTAACGCTTAATATCAATCAGCATGCTCGTAAAATTAAATGCCTGCGGGCAGTAGATAATAGTAAAATTGCGTGACTCAAGGAAGATCAAGGCACTATTCAACGTGTTACTCCTAGTAAGAGGACATCAAAATTTATGTCGGTGGATTTAGTATAATTTAGAAATTTCTATCCACGTTCGTTTGTGTACTTGTTTCGGTTTCACGTTCTACACGAAAGCAATAAAGTCAACGTCGGTGCGCGTGGAAACCAAAGTAAGTACATATTGATCTTTCTTCAGTACTAGTACAATTGTTTGTTAGTTAGGTTACTTGTAGCTTGCGTTTTAATTTGGTATTCTGAACTGGTCAAATGATTTACCACGTACAGATTTAGACTTAATTATAGTGTATTCGATAGATTTACTTCTATTCATATAGTCGCATGTTTTTTATGATACTGCACGAACAATGAGTTATTGTGTTAATATTAAGTACTAGATAGATATTTTTTGCATTGTCATGTTATTTAGTTCGAACCGATTTCCACGATTAACAATTGCCACAATTCTGTGTCAATTCACGTCTATCAAACCCACGAACGTTTGGATTAAAGTTATAATATTTTACTTGTTCGATACTCAAATTCTGTCGAGTTCGATTTGTCTGCGCACCGTTCAACCCAAGTGTTGTCTCATTGGTTATCGCTAAGAGTTAATCGTTTCGTTCTACCATTGGGATTAACATTTAAGTTCGAATTTGTTTCACACTGAAAGAATTTGAAGAATTTACCTCTCGTTTCGTGCTCCGGGCACTGAGAAGGAATGCCAGTTATTTCCTGAGAACTTTATCTTAATTTAAAACGTCAAAATCACTCAACGCGTCTTAATGGACTCGGATATTGAACATATCATGGATCAATTAAAAAAGGCGAGAAGTATTGCAAAAGGAAACGTAACGCGAAAGGCTAATAAAGTCAATGAGATACTGACATCATGCGACAATGTCGATTCTGTAAAGGAAATTGCTAAGGAACTAGATGAAGTTTTAAAACATTTCGAAGTTGCGCATGAAGCTTACCATAATTTGCTCAAGAAGAGCATGAAGTCGAGGAATCTAAATTGTATTTTAATTCGGTTAACGAACTCGTTTCGGAGCATAGGACGAAAATTCAATCGTGGCTTGAACAACCGGCTATTCAACTTGGGCAAGAAAGCCAAAACCAAATTCAACCAGAGGATTCTATTTCCACTGCCGGATCACACAAGTCGTCGCGTTTTCAAACACGATCAATCGCTACCTCAGTTAGGAGTTCGTCCAGCGCAAGGGCAAGAGCTGCCGCAAAACAAGCCGCGCTTGAAGCGAAAGCGAATGCGCTTAACAAACTGCATGAACTTCAATTGGAAGAGCTCAAAATAAAACAGAAAAAATCCCAAGTCGAACTTCAAGCAGAAATAGCTGCCGTGGAAGCAGAGAAACATGTCTATGAACAATCTGAAGCTAGTGATGTTAACTCCAACCGATCTGCCCGTTCGCGTCACGTTGCGGCGAAGTCGATTCAGCAACACGTCCGCGCAAATAAACCGCATCTCTCAAACCACATGCTACAGAGAATAGCCTACGACAAAGGGAAGCGTTCAATAGTCAGCAGCTAAACCCGACTACTCCGGAGTGGACTCCAGCCAGTGCGCTCCCTCATGATCACTCGTTCCAGCGTCTAATGGAAACCCAAGACCGCCAGAACGTTGTTCTTCAACAGATGATTCAGCAACAGATGCAAGGTGTAACAGCGCTAACATTACCACAACCTACCATGAAGATCTTTAACGGAGATCCTATCGAATATTGTGACTTCATCCGAAGTTTCGAACATCTTGTCGAAACGAAAACGCCAAGTTCCAGCTCCCGCCTCTATTACCTAGTACAGTACACGTCTGGGCCGGCCCAGGAACTCATGAAGAGTTGTTTGTCCATGGAACCAGAGAAGGGTTACAACGAAGCAAGACGTTTACTCAAGGAAAGGTACGGACAGAGTTTTCGAATAGCTGCAGCGCATATAGGAAAACTGACAGAAGGACCACCAATCAAGGCTGAAGATGGAAATGGGCTTCTCCAGTTTTCAATCCAACTGACAAGTTGCACCAACACCTTGAAAGAAATCGGCTCTGACGAAACTGGACCATCCCGAGAACCTACGAAAGATTATTAACCGCTTGCCGTTTGGAATGAGACTGAAGTGGCGGGATGTTGTCGATGGGATCGTAGCTAAGCAAGGCCGAGATGTCACGATAAACGATGTCACAGAGTTCGTAACGGTTAAGGCAAGAGCAGCTACCCACCCAGTCTTCGGGAAGATTGTGAACGAAAACAAGGGAAGACAAGAGGAAACAAAGGGAAAGAGAACGCATGACAGGAGAGCAAACGGCTTTGCAACCCAAGGAGACCAGAAAGCGGGTGGCAAAGACCAAGACGGCAGGACATACAAGAATATGTCCCTGCAATGAAAACCACTGGCTAGCTCGTTGCGGAAAGTTCAGGAAGATGTCACTTGATCAGCGAATGGAATTCGTGAAGAACAAGAGACTTTGTTTGAATTGCTTCAACGCTGGACATTTTGTACGCTCGTGCCCTAAAGAGAGTTTCTGTAAGATAGAAGGATGCACCGGTAAACACTCAACGTTTCTACATCCCAAGTCTACACCTAATGATCACGAAGACAAAAAACCCCTTTCAAATCAAGCTACAAAGGAAGAAATTGAGGGATCAACGAATTCTGCCAACAACGGTTACGTAAGGAGATCTCCAAATAGGGAACAGTTGAAGAAGTCCTCGGTCACGGGTCTAGCTGTAGTTCCGGTTCGAGTTAGAGTGAAAGGTTGCACCGAAATGGTAGAAACCTACGCGTTCTTGGACTCTGGCTCAAACACCTCCTTTTGTACAGAAGGCCTTTTGAAGGCATTGAACAACGAAGGAAGAAAGGCGAAGTTGTCGCTGACAACGATGCTCGGCGAAGGTGCCCCAGTTGAATGTTCTCTCGTCGAATGGATGTTTTCGATCTGGATCAACGAAATCATGTCGATCTCCCTAAGGTTTATTCAACCAAGAGCCTGCCTATTCGCGCAGAATGCATTGGGAGGCAAGAAGATATCGAACGATGGCCATACCTAAAAGGCATAACAATTCGACACATTGATGCTGACATAGGCCTCCTTATCGGTAGCGACGTTCCAGAGATGCTACAGCCTGAAGAAGTACGGATGAGCGAGAATGGGGGTCCTTTTGCCACAAAAACAATATTCGGATGGGTTCTGAATGGACCGCTGGGTAGAGAAGATGTCGACGTCCCGACAGCAAATCCCGTTCAAGCAGACAGCACACTGGAGCAGCGCTTCGAAGAGTTTTGTAATATGGAGTTTAACGACGTGAACCGTGAACTCGAATCGACTATGTCACAGAATGACAAAAGGGCTTTGAACATAATGGAAGGGTCAGTAAAGTTAGTGAATGGACACTACGAGATTGGTATGCCTTGGAAAAATTTCCCACCTTACCTGCCTAATAATATGCCTCAAGCCCAACGACGTCTAGGATCTCTTAAAAGGCGACTTCAACAAGATCCATCACTTCTGGAAAAGTACAAGAAGTTTATGGACAATCTATTCTTGAACGACTATGCAAGAAAGGCTACTACACAAGATATCGGTCCGCTGAAATCATTCTGGTACCTTCCCCATCACCCGGTGTTCCACCCGCAAAAACCCGAAAAGATTCGCGTCGTGTTTGATTGCTCTGCCAAGTACCGTGACACCTCGTTGAACGACCAGCTGTTACAGGGGCCGGATCTTACGAATACGCTCGTTGGCGTGTTAACGAGGTTCAGGGAAGAACCGGTGGCGATGATGGCGGACATCGAGGCGATGTTCTATCAAGTACGCGTTCCTTCAAGTGACTGCGACGCCCTCAGGTTTCTGTGGTGGCCCGACGGCGATCTCTCCAAAGACCCAGAGGAGTATGAAATGCGAGTGCATCTTTTCGGCGGAGCGTCATCACCAAGCTGTGCCAACTTTGCACTCAAGAGGACCGCCAAAGATAACCAGGCTGAATTTGATCCTAAGGTTATTGAAACCGTAGAAAGGAACTTCTATGTCGACGATTGCCTTAAGTCAGTTAGCGAAGAAGAAGAAGCTGTTAATCTGTCACAGCAACTACGTGAGCTGCTGGCCCGAGGAGGTTTCAAGTTGACGAAATGGCTGTCGAATTCAAGAAGGGTCGTCGAAGCGATCCCCGAATCTGAAAGAGCATCTATCGTCAAGAACCTCGATTTCAACTGTTGGTCTGTCGAGCGAGCTCTGGGAACGCAATGGAATATATCATCCGATCAGTTTGGCTTCAGCATCGTTATAAAGGACCGTCCTCCCTCGAGAAGAGGCATATTGTCGATCATTAGCTCGGTGTACGATCCACTCGGGTTCGCCGCCCCGTTTGTATTCCAAGCTAAACTTATCCTTCAAGACCTTTGTCGCATGAAGCTAGGTTGGGATGAAGAAATTCCCGAAGAACATCTCAATCGCTGGCGATCGTGGCTCGAAGAACTGCCAAAGTTAGAGCAACTCGTAGTCGACCGCTGTTTTAAATCCCAAGATCACGGAGAGATTAAAACAATCCAACTACACCATTTTGCAGACGCCTCGCAACACGGTTACGGCGCTGTATCGTACCTGAGAATCGAAGACGAAGGTAATCAGGTAAAATGTTCTTTCGTGATGGGCAAGTCCAGACTTGCACCGATCAAACCACTTACTATCCCAAGAATGGAGTTATCAGCTGCAGTCGTAGCGACGAAATTAGACGGAATGTGCCGACGAGAGCTCAGCCTGCGTATCAATCAATCCTTCTTTTGGACCGACAGCACGTGCGTGTTACGGTATATCGAGAACGAAGACAAACGATTCCAAACATTTGTAGCGAACCGAGTCGCTGCTATTCACAACTCGTCTTCCCCGTCTCAGTGGCACTATGTGAACACAGAGCTCAACCCCGCGGATGATGCGTCGAGAGGAGTTCAACCGGATGCCCTCGAACGATGGATTAATGGTCCAACGTTCCTTTTAAAGCCATTCGAAAACTGGCCAACGAGACCAGCCGACTTCAATAACGCTGAAGATACAGATTTAGAAGTGAAGAAGCCTTCTGTTTGCTCGACAGTCGCCAAAGAATCCGATGAAAATCCTATCGATTCGATCATTGAACGCTTTTCATCTTGGAATCACCTCAGAAAAATCATGGCATGGATCCTTCGATACAAGACCAATTTGCAACGTCAGATCAAAAGACGAAGGGCCGGGGAGCCAGTAGCGAACGACTCCAACGGTACATATACTCCCATCGATGTAGAGGAGCTACGGAATGCTGAATCTGTGATTCTAAGGCACGTACAGAAGAAGTGTTTCGAGGAGGAACGAAAGATTCTCCGCGAAGTCAACAGCGAAACAAGTCCGAAGGACGCAAGGGCGCTAAAGAAGAGCAGCAAAATTTTCAAGCTCGACCCAATCTTGAAACATGGGCTCGTATGCGTTGGAGGTCGCCTAGATCGAGCACCGATTGGTCAACAAGCAAAGCACCCAGTTGTTTTACCGAAGAATCACCACGTCGTAACGTTGATCGTGAATCATCATCACAATCTTGCCGGGCATTCTGGTTTAGAGTATACTTTGTCTTTAATACGTCAGCGTTATTGGATCATCAACGGCAGACAGACGGTACGCCGGGTGCTCAACCGATGCATTGGATGCAAGAAACGACAAGCGCCTGTGAGTCAACAGAAAATGGCTCATCTTCCGAAGGATCGAACAACACCTTCCAACCCCCCTTTACATACACCGGAGTAGACTGTTTTGGCCCGTTCGAAGTGCGACGTGGACGAGTGACAGTGAAGCGCTATGGCGTCCTCTTCACGTGTTTGACGACCCGTGCTATCCATCTTGAAGTCTCAAGCTCTTTAGACACGTGTTCTTTTATCAATGCCCTGCGTAGATTCATCTCGAGGAGAGGCCAACCAGACGAAATTCGATCGGACAACGGAGGAAACTTTGTAAAGGGAGAGAAAGAGCTACGTGAAGCTGTGAAGAAATGGAACCAATCACAGATCAACGAATTTCTTCTACAAAAGAATGTCAAGTGGACATTTAATCCTCCCACTGGTTCCCATCATGGTGGTGTCTGGGAAAGGTGTATCAGAACCACACGAAAGGTGATCAAGGCTGTGACCAGAGAACAAATCCTGGACGACGAAGGCATTAATACATTGATGTGCGAAGTCGAGGCAATCGTAAATGGACGACCAATCACCAAGCTCTCCGATGACCCGCGCGACATGGAACCTCTGACCCCTAACCACCTGTTGTTGTTGAGAGCCGGGCCCACACTTCCCCCCACAACTACCACCAAGCAAGATGCATACAGTCGGAGATGGCGCCAAGTACAGTACTTAGCAGACGTATTCTGGCGCCGCTGGATCAGGGAATATCTTCCAACTTTGCAGGTTCGGCAGAAGTGGAATAAACGACACAGGAACTTCGCAGTCAATGACATTGTGCTGGTCCTGGATGATAAGACACCACGAAACTTCTGGCCACTTGGACGAGTTCTGGAAGTTTATACCAACCTCAACGATGGTCTCGTACGCTCCGTGAAGTTGAAGACAAGGACGAGTGAGCTCATACGACCGGTGAACAAGATTGTGTTGTTGGAGGAAGCTGATGACAACCAGAACGATAAGTAGACTCTATAACATGCATGGACCTAATAGTCACAATTAGATCAATATTGTCCAGTTTGTCTCTAGTAGATAATCTGTGTTTTGTTTCAAAACTTTATGTGTTAGAACTATAGGTAAAGGCTGCTCATGGTTCCGCCTTTAAGGGGCCGGAATGTTAGTTTTGAAACACCTACTTGTAGGCAAGTTTAGTCCTAACACCTTGACGCCACGCTATCTAACGCTTAATATCAATCAGCATGCTCGTAAAATTAAATGCCTGCGGGCAGTAGATAATAGTAAAATTGCGTGACTCAAGGAAGATCAAGGCACTATTCAACGTGTTACTCCTAGTAAGAGGACATCAAAATTTATGTCGGTGGATTTAGTATAATTTAGAAATTTCTATCCACGTTCGTTTGTGTACTTGTTTCGGTTTCACGTTCTACACGAAAGCAATAAAGTCAACGTCGGTGCGCGTGGAAACCAAAGTAAGTACATATTGATCTTTCTTCAGTACTAGTACAATTGTTTGTTAGTTAGGTTACTTGTAGCTTGCGTTTTAATTTGGTATTCTGAACTGGTCAAATGATTTACCACGTACAGATTTAGACTTAATTATAGTGTATTCGATAGATTTACTTCTATTCATATAGTCGCATGTTTTTTATGATACTGCACGAACAATGAGTTATTGTGTTAATATTAAGTACTAGATAGATATTTTTTGCATTGTCATGTTATTTAGTTCGAACCGATTTCCACGATTAACAATTGCCACAATTCTGTGTCAATTCACGTCTATCAAACCCACGAACGTTTGGATTAAAGTTATAACATTTTACTTGTTCGATACTCAAATTCTGTCGAGTTCGATTTGTCTGCGCACCGCTCAACCCAAGTGTTGTCTCATTGGTTATCGCTAAGAGTTAATCGTTTCGTTCTACCATTGGGATTAACACATAGTTTGCTAGCTCTGGAAAATGGTTGTTTACCTTAAATTTGTAAGTGGCTATTTATGCATGTAATTCTAGTATAGTTACTGACTGAATATAGCCAATTCTGATATGACTATTCAATATTTGTTTTCGTTTTATCAAATGCGTACCAGGCTACTAATACGAATTCATGCATTTCTTGTTTGTGTCAGGAGCAAACACATGCTTCATGCCTGTATATAATAAACTTTTTATTAACCTCGCTTGTTCGGTCTTTACCGAGATATATCGCACCTCGATCTTTTTGTACGAACCTCGATCTTCGAGCTCGGTCTGTTCAAGAAGACCTCGGTGCGATATTTCTCGGTAAAGACATCGTGCTCGGTTAATAAGAAGTTATTATATATCGTAGCTATGTTATAAAAGAATTATACCACTCGTTCTCGTCGTATATGACGTGATGGGGTGATTCGAAAGCCGAAAGCTAAGGCTCCTGATATTTGAAAATACGTAAGAATATCGATATATATGATGAATAAGTCCAGTTATATATACCTGCTTTTAAACATTCAACTCCGGCATCTTCATCATGAGAGCAATAACTACTGACCCCCCAACCCCTGTGAGAACAATTTGTTATGCGTTGTTCTTCACCAGTACAAGTGAGATCCGTTAACCATATCTGTCCAGAACCAGAAGGAACATCACCACCATGGAGTGCCCTGACAGCACCTTGATACCCAAGTTGACGACATGCAACCCTAGCATCTTTCAAATCCCATTCATCATCACAGATTGTACCCCAAGCTCCATTGTAAAATACTTCAACACGACCTGTACCATTTCCACCCAGAGGCCCTTTCAATCTTAGCAGTGATCCTAGAAAGTATATTTATTTATAAAAAACTGTCAACACGGGTTTCCAGTTAATTGAATTTCGAGACATTTTTACTTTACTTCACATTGTTCAGTACACCTAAAAAAATATGTTCAAACGCTGCAGTTGCAAAGTTATTCAGAGGTCGATCTCAGTCAATTTGTTTGGACATCTGAGACCAGTTGCATAAAACACTAGTTAGCCCTTAACTGTAGTAAGGACAGAATTGGCCAATCAGAGTCGTGTCTTATGCAAAATGTGGCTAAAAAGTTTAATATAACCGGCCCCTGGTATATTGTTTGTGAACTAATACTATTACGCCTATAAAGATTGTAAAAAAAATGATTTACCTTGGCAATGGTGTGATACAAAACTTACACCAAAAATTACGCCAGTTAGGACGACCAAAATCGTCATTTTGTGAACAAGTGAACTTAAAAGGAAGGAAATATATAGCATTTATAATCAAATCACGTGTCACAAGGAATACATAAAATGATAGGCACACTAAAAAAGATTTGATTGCTTCCTGCACTTGATAATTATAAATAAAAACCTGGATATGCTTATGTAGACACTAAGCCTTCCCGGGAATTAACATTGTAATTGACATTGTCATTTCCCCGGGAATTTTTGATCACATGATACGAACGCGGGAAAGCGGAGAGGAGCGGCAATATATACCACTTATCAACCGAATTTGAGGTCCGTACAAGACAAATATCAGGACGAGGTCTTGACAGTACGGACCGAGCGATAGCGAGGTCCGTACATAAAAGACCGAGGTCTGATATTTTTCCAGTACGGACCGAACGTATTCGGTTAATAAGGGATTTATTATATGGCATACAGTATTTAGTTTATTTATTTATACAATGCGCTGCAGCATTCTTGCCGGCTCTTTCGCCAGCCATTCGCCAAGCAAGCACTGAAGTGGCTTCTAACACTTTTGTTTTTTATTCGTTAAATAAGAATGATACAGTAATATAAACAAAAATCAAAGATGAATAAATATAATATTCACATGCACCAAATAATGCTGTTCTTCGTCCATTCTCCGTCGATACTTTTCGTGTCAAAAATAAAAGTGCAAGCTTGTTTTTGTTCAAAAATATGAGAGTTGGACCGTTACTACGGCAATGGTCTAATACTGGGGGATTCCAGACCGGCAAAGAACTAATCAGCGCACGCCATTTTAGTCACGAGACCGCGTGCCAATATAATGAATTTTATTATAACTTTTATTATTACAATTCTATTATATCACTTTAAAATCGCAAGATGTTGGGTATAACTTTGATTAAATCGTAGCATAACTCTAATGGAGGTTCCTCTTTAATAATTTTTGGCCCCTGAGCTCCTTGTGACAAAAAATCGGCAAAATTATTTTGAGTAAGTAAGGGAAGCGAAAAGGTGAACTTTGGCATTAATACGGCATAAAGATAAACTATGGCGTTCATGCAAATACGTTCGTAATGACAACAAGGAATTTAAATCCTATCTTAAGTTTATAAAGTTTGTGCAGGCTCATAGAATAGCGCCAAGTGAACTAGCACCGCGCTATATTATGCTATGTCCTTCAGTTTAGGAAAGCTTATACTCTGACATCTCTGAGAAGATGAAGTGCAATGAAGCTGACGTTGCGGTCAGAAAAGCTAAAACTATATACGTGTTATGAAAATTTATTCAATGCAAATTCGACAGGTGAGGTCAATTTATCCAACTAAGAACCAGGACAAAGCATTATTAACAAGGTCGTCCGATATTCGATATTCAACTCTTTTTGTTTATTTTCATCCAAGTATATTGCATCGTTGAAAAAAAAAGCCACCTCACGCCGTGATTTCAAGTGGAAAATCCATCTCCAATGCAAATGAGGACAAATTTCAAATTCAGCTTCCGTAAGGTCACACATGCAGAAGTGGTGAAAAAGTTGAAATCTAATAATCGCTCAAAGCGTACCGGTATTGGCGATCTTACACCCTTGGTATGTTGAGGGATGCTGCTTCCATTGTGATAAATCTATTTCTAAAATCTAGCCTATTCCCCAGACTTTTTTCCCTGTATCAATGTTAAATAAGTTTTATTTTTTTTCATACGCGAGGTATAGGACATCTTTTACAACAGGTTAACTAAAGTTCACTAATGTTCTCTTCTTGCTTCGTTCTTCTCTTCTCTTCAAATATTCGTTGTTGCTGTTCTTGTCTTTGGTCGTTGGTTCGGTAATGTTGAGCTTCTCCAACGTTTCATATGCTTTTTACTCCGCTAGTCCACTCTATTCGTCCACTCTATTCGTCCACTCCGTTAGTCCACTGTGTTTAGTCCACACCGTTAGTTCACTGAAAGTTCTGTTTGCTGCATGCGCGCTATAATAAAATTTGAGGGGATCTTGAAGACGCCCTATGCAAGGTGGCGTGATTCATACTATCCAATCAGCGTTGTAGGTTACAAGTGTGGGTCGCCGTTAGAAGTTCGATCCAGCTCTCATATTTTGTTTACTTAAGGGCGTTGACGCACTAGTCGAGTTGGTCTTTTGCTTAATCGATCATTGTTAAAACTTGTTCACAACTTAAAACATTTATCATTAACTTAAAGTACAATTACCAAATTATTACTTTGTGAACCGTATCTGAAACTTATAAACTATTTTACTAATAATTTTATCGAATTAAGCTTTCGTGACGTAAGACTTCAAGTGCTTAACCAAGCAAAATATAACAAAAAAATGATTCACACAAGGTGACATGAGGTGAGGGCTGTAACCTCATGATAGGAAAGGGAATTTTGTGATTCCGAAGGGTCATAATATAATTATTTACTTTACACGTCATTTTATGAGACATGTTCTCCAAGTAATTTCCTCGTCGATATTGGCCTTCTATTTTTTAACAATGTTAAATTACACTATATAATATGCGCATTTCATAACACTAATATTCTTATACCGAAGATAATAATTAATCTTCCATAGTAAACAAAATAGGGAGGTAGGGTAATTGATATATAATAGTTACAAACAAGGTGAACATGATGGAATTATAAGCTTTAAAATATTAAAGATTCGAATCAAAATCTGGCATAGTTAACCAGATGATGCTTGCGTAGATAATTATCTGCCTCTATATATATGCTCCTAACGTTATCATTTTATCCTGTCAAAACTAAACAAATACTCCGGCGTTAATCGAAATTGTCTCAATTTTCTTAGAGTTTAATACATGTTAAATTTTTGCCGCCAAAAACTGCATGCAAGCCAGCCAAAACGTGCTAAAAAATCATCATGTGACACGGAAGCAAACACAGACAATTCATGTATCGCACATGGCCTTACAATCTGCCACTGATATGAAATCATTGCAGGAATTTCATATATAAAATATTACATGCAATCACATGTTTTATGGCAAAATTGTTATGTGAAAGCGGCTTTCTTTTCTTTCTGTGTGAAAGTGCTTCTGTAAAATGAGTTCTGGTCTAATTTGCGTCACTTCTGCATGGACATTTAAAATTCTATGCAAAAATTGCGATAGTTAGATCTTATAAGAAATGTTACCGGACAATCTCTCTTTGCCTTTTATGAATCAATTACTGAACTATAAATCTAGTAGAAAGGTACATACCGTGTGTTCTAAAATGCCGGTTCACGATTCCTTGATCTGTTCTCAATATGACCTCTTCGTCGGGACCGTCTAGCTATGTCGTTAATCAGAAGCCTCTATAATTAATAAACGTAAGTAATACCAATGCCAGGAAAGAAAAATATGTAAGATACGTCGTACAGCAAATTCGTACAGTAGATCTCGACTACGTTTTGGTTATGGGATAACACTGAATTGCATTAGATATATATATAGCGACGGTTAAAAGTATGCAAATGCAAAAATTCCTGGAAACAACGAATGCATAAAAAGTTCCGTAGCAACCGCATAAGAGCATCAGGCAATCCTCAAAGGAAGCAGACGAGAAAATGTTAATTACAAAATATGATGTAGATTTCTTTTATTCTAAAATTGGTTACTAATATCCAACAAACTTAAGCCTAGTTCACACTTGTTTGAGGTCACTAGTGCGCGAATTAAATACCGATTGTTCGGAGCTAGTGTGAATCTGCGTAAAGGCTAGTTTCCACTGAGGAAAAATCTCCTTTGGATCTGAACGGACAGGAAAATTTCCTTTGTCGGTGAGTTCTCAGGCGGGGTTTATACAAAGGAAGCTTTCCCGTCCTGTCCGATGCAAAGGAGAATTTTCCTGAGTGGAAACTATAGCCAGTAATAGCCTTTAGCCGGTTTCCCACTAGCGATAATTTTCGCGCGAATCGACAGTTTATTTTTGTTCCAGAGACCAGAGCTCTCAACTGCAACCATTTGGAACAAATTGCTCAAATACAAAGGAACAAAGTCGCTTCGCGCGAAAAATATCGCTAGTGCCGTAGTGTAAAACCGCTCTACAGCTTGGCACTATACTCTACAGGTCGAGACTTTTAATTCATAAATGCTCTAGAGATCAATGTGAGATCTGATCTCGAATGAGTACAGTGCGGTAACTTCTTATTAACTTACAGCATGACAATGAATCCAGTAAAAGGGAATAATCGGTAATCAAAAGTCATAGATGAAATGCGATACTTTCATGTATGAATGGCATGCAATGTTCGTTGCGTGGTAAACACTACATATTGTTTGTTATGCGGTAACTTCCTAACTTACAACATGACAATGCATGAATTAAAGTAAAAGGGAATAATCAGTGATCAAAAGTCATAGATGAAATGCCATACTTTCATATGAATGGCATGCAATGTTCGTTGTGTGGTAAACACTATATATATATTGTTTGTTATGCAGTAACTTCCTAACTTACAGCAATTCACTGAAATTCATTGTCATGCTGTTAGAGCATGACAATGAATTTCAGTGAAAGGGTATAATCAGTAACCAAAAGTCATAGATGAAATGCGATACTTTCATATGAATGGCATAAAATGTTCGTTGTGTGATAAATACTATATATTGTTTTGTTCACAGCTGTTAAAATGAGCTTCACAGGAAGGCTAGTTTTGCCTGTAAGGGCTAGTTTTCACGTCGCATTACATGAGAAATGTCATGGGAAGTGAGAAATGTTACTGCATGGGGATGGCTTGTTCTCAAAAGCCACATTAAATAGCTTCTTTGGAAGTCGTTTACTTATTACGATGTCCAAAACCATAGTCAGACAAATTTTTCAATACTGATAATCAACAATCGAATGAGACCCTGTTTACACTAGAACCAAAGTTTCCGGATTCATCACGAAAGCGGAATGTTTTAGTACCGGATTCATGTTGCTGTTTACACACGCAGCAACGAACGCGATAGAAAATGTACTCGGTTTTAAGCCGTATCCGGAAACTTTGAATCCGTAAAAGTTTGTGGAAAATTCGTATCCAGAAACATCTGAATCCGGAAAATTTTCTTGTGTAAACGCTTTGCACGACGAATCCGAAGAAATTCAATATGACGACCAAACAATTCTCCAAGAACAAGTAATGTGAGTGTAAACGGACAAATCCGCATACAGAGACAACTAAAGTGTAGTGTAAATACCTGACGAATCCGATACATGTGTGTGACAATTAATGAATCCGGATAATTTTACAAATCCGGAAACTTTCGTTCTAGTGTGAATGGGGTCTGAATCACTGAATGTTATTGTAGAGCTACATGTAGCCCTACTTAGATATTACGCATATAATTATTTTATCATATTACGCTAGTCTTCAATGTATGACCCATGTAAACAGCCCCTGAATTGACAAATTTTGCCCAATTCTACAATTTAACTGGCAAACATAAAACATAGCCATTTTCAAAGACAATGATAATGCACCCGTATCATGATAATGATAATGTTAAAACTAATATAATAAAGGTTTACACGTGGAGCGAATCAACATTTTGCGACAGCCATTATTTTGACAGTATGTTAATTTATTGGGTAACGCTCGCTATTAATGGTTTAATAAGCATACAAAGTAAAGCAAGTTTTTTCTTCGTGGCCAGTTTGTCATATTCATGACGTTCAAATACGTAACTAAACAAAACCGACGCGATATTAATCATGATATCACTCTCATCGCACAGGGAACACGCTTCTTTACTTAAGGCCATGTTACACGGTGCAATTTTTCTTGCAACTTGCAATGCAATTCTACTTTTAGGCGATGTAAATTAGCGAAGAGTTCTCAAAATGTAAGTGTAAGAAACGCCATGGAGTGTAATAAAGACAAAAGTTTGCTAGTTGCCAAATTTACATCTCTCAAAAGATGAATTACATTGCAAGTTGCAAGAAAAATTGCACCGTGTAACAGGGCCTTTAAGGTTGTTTGTACAGCGTGTCTCATAAAAAAGTAACGTCACAAAAATTACGCTTCTGCTTGGGATTTGAAAACACGTTACCACGTGCAATACTATGAAAACAAGACGTCTGCTCTTGGGTTCTTGACAAGATTGTCAACCTAGGTTAATATCGTACAACGCACGAATCAATAATGAACAAGCATGATGAATGATGATGTATGCCTCGCTCTCTTTCTTGCCTCCAAGCTAGGTTCATGGCATGGGGATAAAGGCTGCTTTCCAGTTACGCGTTTTTTATACGTGCACGTACACGCACGTAAAAGTCTAAATCCTTATACATGTTAGCTTTGAAAAAACGAAGTGAATAAATCAAAGGAACTTAGTTTTCCGCATATTTTAGTATGCACTTGTAGACCTGGATGTTAAATAATAAAAATTTAGAAGCATTTCAAATTTTCCGTGCATGTACGTGCGTATAAAAAACGTGTAAGTGGAAAGCAGCCCTAAATACATATTTCACATAATTATTCGTATATAACTATGAATATATGCAAAACCTTTTTTAAACAAACGAAAATCACCATTCCTCGTACTTTCTTTAATGCAAAATAAGTTTACGAGTATTAAAGTTAATTCGATAAAGTATTATTATTATTATTATTCATAATGTGACAATTATAGTACGGACGTGCTGATTGGTCGAGAAGCGTATTTCCTCAACTGCATGTATAGAAACACTGGACTTTTTCCGCCGAACTTGACAAGCAAAAGAAATGTAATCAGAATTTGTTATTGAATCGAATTATAATATTCGTAGGATATCTTTTTTTGAGTTACATAATCAAAGAAATAGAAAACATTTTTCCTGTGTTCATGTGCAGTTATAGAAACGGCCACGTCTCGTTCACTTCGCTCTTATGGAGCGGAAATCCACGGTTTCGCTGTCTTATTGTTAATTATCAAAAAAATATATAACCTCAGCTCGTATCAAAACAAACTGAAAATGATTCGCACTACACTACATTTTTTAAGACAACATTAGCAAAGAATCGCAAGCGCTGATTTTAATCAATTAGTGTGACGTAACCGGCGTTATCTGCAGCTTCTCCTGACTCGTGATAGTTTTGTTTGAGACCGACATGATCCAACTCCCCGTAAACTGGATTTTTAATTGTATGTTCAGATTTGGAATCAGGTTCAATATTCCTTCTTCTTCTTAACCTTTGGCGAGGATAAAATATCGCAACACTAGCAATGATAATCCCAGCGATGATGACTGCTGGTATGATCATAAATATAGGCCATTCAGCTGCTCTCTCCTGTTCCCCACGTGACTTTTCTTTTTCTGGGAATGAAAATAGACTAAACGCGTGTGGAATTTGGTAAGTGATTTGGAGGAGGTGTGCATATATACAGGGTGTATAAAAAAAAAGTAGACAATTTTGAAATGTTTAGAAAACTATAAATTTATCAAAATATCTCATAGATTTGTGCTAGTATGGGTACTTTGGCATCTTCAGGTCATTCTAACACTAAAAACAAACAGAAAAAATAACCTCGAAAAATGGAAGAGCGGTTTCTGGAAGCATCATTTTGAATTGCTTGTGCAAACATGAATGAGAGGTTTAAAATCCAATTTGAATTCAAGGGCTGAACGTTTGGGTATTTGTTTACAAAGAATCGAAATTTCAGAAATTTTGATGAAAATTAAGTCAGCCGCGCAACTGCGTAAAAGTGGGCTTTTTTCCGTTTAACTCGCAGCTTGAGTAACTTTTTTCACAACACCATTGTTAGTTTAATCACCCGAGCAATCACTCATGCATGAAATCATTCGTGCATGAAAATTTTGATAAATTTATAGTTTTCTTAACATTTCAAAATTGTCTACTTTTTAAGATACTCCCTGTATATATATATATATATATATATATATATATATATATATATATATATATATATATATATATATACCGTATATATATATATATATATATATATATATATATATATATATATATATATATATCGTAGTCACATGACTTTAAATAAATGCAATGTTTACCGCCAGGGGAACAAGTGAAAAATTGTCGCCCCCTTCTTGTCATAACAAAGTAAAGTGAGTTTTTTTTAAATGAAATTGTTGTGTAACATGTATGTTTTTGTTCCTATATAACAAAACACTTAATGTACACTATACCTCGGGAAATAATGACTCTCGACTTCAATCTCGGGAAACATTCAAACCCTTGGGAAAACAAAACTCACTATTTCTCTCGAGAGCATACATTAAGGGTATAATATATCTCATGTATCAAACAAAATTCAAACCTCAATAATTCAAATTATCTTTTTTTTTAATTTTCACAGCTTTAATAAAGCAATATCGACTAATCTGAACGAAAAAATATTTCGAAAATATTCAAATATGCAATATTTCAAAAATCACGCATATTACAAAGTTACTTTAATAAATATATTTATAACTGTATTAATTAAATATATTGCAAAGTTAAGAATTTTTAATAATATATCAATTTTACCTGTTTTCCAAAAACATTGAACTCCAGCGTCTCCAAGATTAGAGCAAGAACGAACCTTTCCCCAACCCCTATGAGAACAATTTGCTATATTTCTTTCCTCCCCGGTACACGAAACTTGTGTTAACCATACCGGTCCAGAACGGGGTGGTAGTGTTCCACTAGAAGAAGCCTCACTAGCATCTTGATAACCAAGTTGACGACATACAACCCTAGCATCTTTCATATCCCATCCATCACCACAAATTGTTCCCCATCGTCCGCGATAGGATATTTCGACGCGCCCTGAACCATTAGAACTCAATGATCCTTTTAACCTTAGTTCAACAGGAATACCAGTGACATCTGAAAGAGCGAACTTGAATTTCAGCTGAATGTTACCAATGTGAACCAATGTTAACCAACCAGAAACCATGTATCCTCAACAAAACTAAAGCTAGATTTACCTTTTCGATATTTACGTCACAACTTTATTGTTTGAAATTTGCGATGGATTTAAAGTTATACTATCACAAGACAAATGCAAAGATGCAAATAGCCCTCTTCTATACACATAAATTAAAAAGGCAAATATGTGTTTAAATAAACAATTACTTATAATGGCTTCCGTGTTTGGATGGCCTGACCAAAACACACGGGAATGTTGCGAGAGTTAAGTTCCAAAAAGCGAATTAAATTTTGTTTTTACGTCATAGTTCCTGTTTCTGCCATTTTTTCTGTTTCTGCATTAGTTTCTGCCATACATAACTACGCGAACCAGGGTTTAAGTTAAGGCGGATTTCCACTTACAGCGAAATCGTTCGCTAGCGAAATATTTGCATATTTTCTTTTGAATTCGAAACAGTCAAGTCGAACTAATTTATTTATGCTGTTAAAATTCAAAAAAAAATATGCGAATATTTCGCTAGCGAACGATTTCGCTGTAAGTGGAAATCCGCCTTTACCCACTATAAAGTCCCGTCATTGTCGAAAATCGTTGTTGGCTGCATGTGTACATTTATCTTGGAGAAGCCGAGTGATCGGGCATTTTGATTACTGAGGGGATCTGTTTCAAGAGTTCAAAATTAATATATCACGAAAACGGCGTTCACAACTTGTTCGCTTCGTTGATGTTTCTTACTCGATTCACGGGGTTCTCAGTTTATATGCTGTTTGCTAATGACCAGAAAATTCGGAAAAAATTAACATTCTACTTCCGACGAAATTTGCATAATTATGGTGTTAAACTATATCCTCGTGAGTTTATCAATATACAAAAAATACTAAAACTCAAAAAATATAACTTTTAGCAGGTAAGTAATAATTGTTTAGGTCAGTTATAATTTCCTTGATTCCTGGTTGCAGAACAAGTTACTCCAAATATTTCGAGGTAGATTTTGGAATTTGGCGGATTGCAGAAAGGTCCAATTCTGCAATCCGCTTACTGTCCGGAGGAATTTCGCCCTAAGTCGCGAATAAACGCCCTAATCAGTTTCTCACCTTTTGTTGCGCATTCAACACCAACAACTTCATCATCAGAGCAATGTCTATCCCCCCAGCTACTAAGAGAACAACTTTCTATATTTTCTTCTTTCCCTGTACAATCGATGTATTCCAACCATACCCTTTTATAATTGGTTGGAACCTCGTGTCTTTGAAGGGTCCTAACAACATATTGATAACCAAGTTGACGACATACAACTTTAGCATCTTTCATATCCCATCTACTATCATGATCACAGATTGCTCCCCATTGTCCATAGAAGAGGACTTCGACACGACCAATTCCACTTGCATTTAACGGGCCTTGTAACCGCAGTCTCACAGGTATAGCGGAAAAATCTTGAAAGAATAGAGCAATTGATGAGATATATGATCGTAGCAAACTTTAGCAAGATCGCTTAATTTGTTGGTAGGTTTATATATTTATATCTTCATGTTTATGTATCATAGGACAATAGCGTACAAAAAAGATCAATCGGACATAAAGGCCACGTTACACGGTGCAATTTTTCTTGCAACTTGCAATGCAATTCTACTTCTAAGGCATGTAAATTAGCTTGCAGAAGTAAAGTGCATGAAGTGTAATAAACACAAAAGTTTCGTTTTTCCCAAATATACATCTCTCAAAAGTAGAATTGCATTGTAAGTTGAAAAAAAATTGCAAGATGTAACAGGACCTTAAGGACCTTAAGACAAATATATCTTTTTTTATTAGCTGTGTCGTGTATTTTGCCGGGAAAAAGTTTAAACATAAAATCTTTTCGGCGTACCACTCAAATGTCAAAAATCGTTTATTTTACCTTTATTCTTTAGATTTTTTTGTATTGTATTTGGTGATTGCAAAACAGTAAACGCCCCAATACCTCAAAGTCCGTTCTACGCTTTGTTAAATTTCAATAACCGCGCTCATGTGAACCGCCCAAAAATTAAAATTTCTAGTTAGCTAGACATTCAGCAAAACGATGTGGGTGTGACATGTATGTGGCCAAGAAAGGTCGATCCGGAAAACCGTTTGGGAAGAAAGATGACCATCCGTCTTAGAGATAATGGTATTACAAAGATATTACTATTTTTGTGATGAGCTTTTGACTTGATCAATGCACTTCGAAACACTACTTAAAAAAATTCGGTCCCAGAGCTTAAGAGCCCCCACAGACATTTTGACGGCATCCAGGGTCGGAGGTTCAATTAGCCAAGCGTAATGTAAGTGCTGATTTCTTTTGTACACAATTTTCCCCACCCTATGGAAGCATGAATATATGCATACCCTTCTCCTTTAATTTGGCGGTGCAGTAACAGCCATCGCAATGGAATTTCCCTCACGCAGGGTTTGTTGATAACAGACAGTTTGGAAAAGAATCATATTAATCATTCTTCTGCGTGGTGGTGATGCATAATTTTAAATGCATGGCATTATAAGGCAACATTATAACATAATCGATTTTATTTGCATTCTGATATAAAACAAGTAAGTTAGCTTATAGGTACACACGTAAGCCTTGCAGTATTAAATACTTAAGTGGTACTTACAAGCTAATTTACTTAATATTAGAATTGATTTTGTTGTTATTAGTCATACTTGCGGTTAAACATTCAACTCCGGCGTCTTCATCATGAGAGCATGAATGATTTCCCCAACCATCGTGTAAACATTGTGTTATGTTTTGTTCGTCCCCAGTACATTCGACGTTAGACAACCATATTTTCCCAGAACCAGAAGGAACCTGGCGACCGTCAAGGGCTCTGGATGCATCTATGTAACCAAGTTGACGACAAACAACTCTAGCATCTCTCATATCCCATTCATTATCACAGATTGTTCCCCAGGTTCCATTGTAGAATATCTCAACACGTCCAGTGCCATTAGCGCTTGAAGGACCCTGTAATCTCAGTTTGGCAGGTAAAGCGGTGAGATCTAAAAAAATCGGAATCGTGATTCATGAATAGTGATTCAAAAAAGTTTCAAAAAACATCGTACTGATTTACTTGCGTGAGAAGGCTGGGCATGACCGCAAGATTTGGCTTCAAATTTCCGGCCTTCTTTAAGTTCAATGCTGTATTATTCACGGGTGGATCCAGCACTAGTGCACTAATTTGCATTACAAAACAAGACGGTTATTTTTAGCAGTTTTCTTGTGTCATGCAAATTAGTGCACTAGTGCTGGATCCACCCCTGGTATTATTAGAATATTATTTTGTTTCGCTTAGCTTGTCATGCATCAATCAATATATAACGAAAGATAGCATAAATCTATGTCAACTGGTTTGCTATGAAAACGGCGTCGGAAAGTGTTAAACTATTCTATATATGAGACTCGCTGATAATTAGTTATATAAGAAGTAAAACAACATTTACATTCACGACAATCGATTTGATCCCAAATCTTTTACCTGCATTTGTGCATTCAACTCCCGCGTCTTTATCATGTGAACAACGATGATTTCCCCAACCACCGTGAGAACAATTTGTTATATTTTGCTCATTTCCGGTGCAATTAACGCACGATAACCATATTTGTCCTGAACCAGAAGGAACCTCGTTTCTCTGAAGAGTTCGAACGACATCTCGATAACCAAGTTGACGACAAATAACCCGGGCATTATTTATATCCCATCCATCATCACAGATTGTCCCCCAATATCCATGATATAATACTTCAACCCGACCAGTGCCATTGGCACTTAATGGTCCTTGTAATCTAAGTCTGACAGGTACACCAGTGAAGTCTAAGAAGAATAGCGGAGTGTGTGAGATCAATCAGAATTGTAAATCAAATTACAAGCAATACAAACTACTTGAACACGTGTGAAACCGATAGCCATGTTGTAACTTCTGTCTCACAGGTATGGCGAATAAATTCTTAGAAAGTATGCGAAATATATGAGATTACTGCTTGTGTTTTCTTTGTACATTCAGCAACCTAAAGCGCTTGACATATAAGGCGTAGAGTTTCGAAGAAATGAACCTGGTATTTGTGTATAGTCATTCTGAAAACAGCATGTGCTTGTTTGGTATCAAAAAGGACAACTTAGTGCCTCAAAATTATCTCACGCTTCGCTATATCTCGAGTAATTGGGTTCATGCGAACAGCCCCTAACTCATGCACCTTTTTTTAATGATGAAAAATTTCCACGTAGGCCAGGTATGAGAGCTCCATTAAATGTATTAAATTTCTCAATTCCTTGCACATATGAATAATAAATAACGTACCGTACACCGACGAATATTCGGTGTTATTTCTCTAATTTAATTGAGAATATACCTTTATCGTGCGATATTATTGGACTATCCAGGAACGTTGGTATGTTTTAAAACTTACCTATCGTGTAGCAATGTACACCTGCCACTCCATCGGAGGAGCATGAAGTAAACCCCCAACCATCATAAGAACAACTTGTAATATTCTGTTCATCTCCAATACAACGGACATTTTTTAACCATAACGGTCCAGAGGCAGGAGCGACTAGGTTCCACTGAAAAGTCTTTGCATCGTCTGGATTATAACCAAGTTGACGACATACAACCCTTGCATCTTTTCTGTCCCATCTACGAGCACATATTGCACCCCAATATCCATGATGGAGTACTTCAACGCGACCAGTACCGTTTGCACTTAATGGGCCTTGTAATCTTAGTCTCACAGGCGTAGCGGTAATTTCTTAGGGAAATAGCGGATTGTATAAAACTATACAATGTAGTTGTTGTACTTGCAGTTTTGTTGTTTTTTCTAGTTGAAGTGGTTGTTGTCGTTTTAGTGGTTGTTCTTGTTGTTATTGTTGTTGTTGTTGAGTTGGCTTATTTTAAAACTTTTTATACCTGTTGAACTGCATTCTACGCCAGCGTCCAGAGAATGATCACAACCGGAAACCCCCCAACCAGGGTGAAAACAGCTTGAGATGTTTTGTTCTTCGCCAGTACAAGCGACGTTATCTAACCATATCTGTCCTGAACCAGAAGGAACCTCGTTCCTCTGTAGCATCTTTGCAACATCAAGATAACCAAGCTGACGGCATACAACTTTAGCATCTTTCATATCCCATCCATAATCAGAGATTGTCCCCCAATATCCATGATAAAGTACTTCAACACGACCAGTGCCGTTTTCACTTGATGGTCCTTGTAACCTCACTCTCACAGGTATACCAGTGAAATCTTAAAAGAATAGTAAAGTGTCTGAGATCTATATAATCATATATTCGTTTAAACATCCTTTTGATCGTTAAATATTTACCTGTTTTTGTACAAACAACTCCTACGTCTTCATTATGCGAACAACGATGATTTCCCCAACCATGGTGAGAACAACTTGATATGTTTTGCTCACTCCCGGTACAAGAGACCTCAGATAACCATATTTGGCCTGTACCAGAAGGAACCTCGTTTCTCTGAAGACTTCGACCGGCATCTTGATAACCAAGTTGACGACAAACAACGCTAGCGTCTCTCATACTCCATCCATCATCACAGATTGTTCCCCAATATCCATGATAAAGTACTTCAACACGACCAGTGCCATTTTCACTTGAAGGTCCTTGTAACCTCACTCTCACAGGTATACCAGTGAAATCTTAGACGAATATAGTGTGAGATCAATACAGTATAGCTAATGTAAATGCCTTGAAGAGTTTTTGCTTCTCATTGGTATCACTTTGAAACTGAATAGCCATATGCAATCTCTGATCGCGCGATCGTGTTTTTGCCATTGCTTATTTTTCAAATGTGTTCAGTCAAGCTCATCTCGTGGGATTAGTACCGCCTGATTGTCTATTTTTCAAAGGAAAGCGATCGCAAAAAGCTGATCGCGCGACATTTTGCACTGAATAAAATCCGCCTAAAGAAACACCCTCCGCAAGTTAAAATGAGCTAACCACTTATATATATATATATATATAACCACTTATATATACCATATATATATATATATATATATATATATATATATATATATATATATATATATTTTTTTTTTTTTTTTTTTTTTTTTTTTCTCCCTGAACTCCTTTTTCAACTCCGCTTTGTTTTGGTATTATGATAGAAAAGGATAAGTCAGATTTACCTGTATTTGTGCATTCAACTCCTGCGTCTTCATGATGTGAACAAGAAATTTCCCCCCAGCCATCGTAAAAACAGCCTGTTATATTTCGCTCATCTCCGCTGCAAGAGACGTACGATAACCATATTTGGCCTGAACCAGAAGGAACCTCGTCTCTCTCAAGGGTTCGAACAGCATCTCGATAACCAAGTTGACGACATACAACCTTGGCAACTTTCAAATCCCATCCATCATCACAAATTGTTCCCCAGGTTCCATTGTAGAATACTTCAACACGACCAGTGCCATTTGCGCCACGAGGCCCTTTCAATCTTAGCAATGATGCTAATTTAAAATGTATATATATTTATAATATGTATTATAGATACGCGCGTGCTGATTGGTGAAAAGCGTGTTTCTATTTAACAATTAGACCACGAGTCCGAGTTGTCTATGAGCGAATAGTCAACGAAGGCGAAGCCTTCGCTAGAGGCGAGTTGTCTAAATGTTTTAGTATACACCCTGTACCTAGATATATAAATTTCGAGAAAATAATCGATACACTGCAATTACACCGAAAAATAATTTGATTAATTCAATTTTATACGGTCGCGCGAGTGAATTTTTCCCAAACGTGCACTATCACGAACAGCAGACGATGGTTGAGTAGCCAATCAGAATGTCGGATTTCTAGTAGACAATAGTCGGGTGTATATTAAAACTGTATAGACACACGGAAATTTTCCCGCCGAACTTGACAAGCGAAGCAATGTAATGAGAATTTGTAATTGAATCGAATCACAATATTTGTTCAAAATCTTTTTATTGAGTTATATAATAAAAGAAATAGAAAACATTTTTTTCTCTATTTCTATACAGTTATAGAAACACTCAGTTGCGGGAATTTGAGAGAACTGGTTATTTCGAGTTCTCCCAAACTCCCACGCGTGTTTCTGCCCTGTGTTCTAACTGTATAGAAACATGGAAAATGTTTTCTGTTTCTTTATTAGTATAAATTTCGAGGTGACTATTGATTTTCCTGCATTCTGATTGGTCAAGATTAGTCAGGATTGGTCAAAAAATTTGAAGTATTTCTATTTTTTTATGAAGTTATGGTGATTAATATTTAAACACCTCGAAATTGATATTGAACAATTATTAGTCGCCTCAGGCTCTGTGATTACAAGCTTATATTCACTTTGCTTTCCGGCGGCTCATGCAATTACCTTCGCAATGGTGTGATACAAAACTTAAACCAAAAAATACGCCAGTTATGATGGCCCAGCACCTCATTTTATCAACAGGTGAATATAAAACTAAAAAAATGAAATAGCATATGATGAAAGAACATGTCACTTGAAGTAAAAATTTGAAATTGTACATCGAATAAAGGATAAACTATGGCATTAGAGAACCATGTTTCCATGGCCTGTATTGTTTATAATGAAGAGTCAGGGGCCTGTTGTATAAAAGACTAGTTAACTTTTCACTGTAGTTAAGGACAGGCTTGGCCAATCAGGGTCGTGTATTTGTGAGTTTACTAGGATTTAACTATACAAATGTGTTAAATTAGTTATATACAACCGGCCCTGTGTATGCGAAACTTATCGAGAAAGTATGAAACAGTTAACTCAAATGCTGAGCTTTGAATTCAAACAAGACACCCTTTGAGGCACTAAAAGCTCAGATACTTAAGCTCAGATAAAAATAGGAAATATCAACCTGCATGACGTGGATGAAGAACTGATTATTGCCACAAAATGCATGCATGGGTAGATATGATTTTCGGTATTTCGCAATCACTAATTACTTTTCCTTCTAAGCTTGATAGTTTCGGCAAATAGTTAATGAAGAAATAGTTTTAGTGTCGACCATTTTGTCTAAACTGTCGTTCCTAGGTAAACAGTGGATTCAGGCAAACTTGTAAAGTTTATGTAGCATCTTATTAGCCCAAGCGAAGCCAAGTGTAACCTTAAAAACATGCAAGGCTGGTGCGAGCTCTTATTTATATATGTCAATCTACTCAACCGTCATTATAAAAGCGCCGGCACAACCTAAGCTAAAGAAGAAGTTATTATAAAATATATATTAAGGAGTAAGTTAGTACTAAGCAAGATAGTGAACGAACGGAGTAAAAGTCGTATTTAACGTTAAGAAGCTCAACAAGCCATGAACAGACAAAGAAGACACGACAGAAAACGACGAAGACGTAGGAAAGAGCAGATCAAGAAGCAAACATTTTAAGAACAGTAGCTCCAACATTGTAAAGATCCCTACCTCGCACATAAATCAAACATATTTATATAACAATTGTGTTAAAGTCATTTGTTTTGATAGTCAAGCCTTTATGCCTCAAAACGTTATGATTTTATCATGCCAGTAATCAACAAATAATCAAATACAAATCTCATACAAATCTCAACCTTCTTGCATGTTATATAAGTATTATAGTTTTTTGCAAGCTAATCCGGCAAACGTACTTGAAAAAGGATTATATAATATGACAAGGTAACAAACACACTTTATTAACTAAAAAAGCACGAGTAAGAGTCACTGTTAAAAGTCTCAAAGGGCACCTCCACAAAATCTACATAAGTCCGATGTGGATCAAATCTGGACATTTTGGATGAATAAACATACGCTGAAAGAAACCCCAGAAAAATGCGGTGCTTAGAATTAACGCACGAAAAAACCTTGATTACAGTGCTGTCCTGAAATAACCTAACAAAACCGCGGTTAGCCTAGGTCAAACCTCGGTCTGATCACGGTTGAAGCAAGGTCAGACCGAGGTGCAACCGCGGTGAGACGGAGGTTAAAGCTCCGCCAAACTTTGCCTGACAAACATTTCTTAAGATTTTTTCGATATGATTATTGTGTTGCCGTTCATAACATTTCGCTCGATCGCAACTGAACGGCCACTGCGAAGGTATTTCTTCCCTTGCTTTTAGGAATCGTTGACCCAAATATTGAAAAGTGCAGACTGAGAATATAATTCTAACAGATATATTTGTACATACCGTATATGATTTATCCGCGGGTTCACGATTCGCTGATCTGTTTTAAATATGACCTTTCCGTCTGGAAGTCTAGCTTTGTCGTTGGCGAGAAGCCTCTATAATGACTATTTTCAACGGTATTACTTTTATTGGTATTATGAAGTAGCCAGTGAACGATCCTTTTAATATATCTGATCTCGTCTAGGATTTGGTATGGAATAACGCTGAATGGAATCGATATTTGTATTTAGTGAAAGTCAAAAGTAATATGAAACGAACACTTCTTGAAGATCAAAAAGTATAAAAAGTACCCTAGCAACCGCATAAGCCAGGCAATCTTCAAGAGGCGAAAAATATGTTGTTTTAATTACAAAATATATATGTTAGAACCTTTCTCTGAATTTTTTACAAGTAACAACTATTAACTGAACTTAAGTTGATCCTACAGATGGGATGGGGGATAATTATAAATGCATTTAGATCAGTAAAAATCTGCCTGGAATGAACCAAAGTACCGTGCGGTAATCCGATTCATCATTCACTCACTGCATGATATTGAATTTCAGTTAAAAGTATACATCAGTTTTAGCATAGATAAACTATGATAAAGCGGGCTATCATATTCTTGAAAAGGCATGCAATGCCTGTTGTATGGTGAACTCCGTATTCTGTTTGTGAAGTGACAACCCCGAATTCTTGGAATTAAACTAAAGCAGTTTGTGTTAAAAGACAAACAGGAAGCGGGAATGCAATTTTAGCAGACAATCATAACATGCATAACTAATATGTGTGTTTTACCTGTGCATATTGCCATGCAATGTTGACCGTATGTTGATTTGCTTGATTTTGAATGATCTTACGCTAATGCTTAAGCACAAAAAGTATTAAACTTTTAGTGACCGAGGCGTGGTAGTCATGCGATAAAAAAGTCAGCAACTCCAAACAAAACTTCGCGATATTATGGTGCATGATATCACTCTAACGCACAGAGAATATGTTAAATGTAAAGTGCAGTTGTTTGATTGATCTTTAGTTTTCGCAAAATACAAAGGTTGTGGCGAGAAACGATTTGGCAGAAAAATATGACAGTGATTTTAAAAAGCATACGCGTCTATAGCCACCGTGTAAGCGCGTGGTTCTCTAAGGCACGTTTCAGACGTCAAATTTTTCATGTGCTTAACGTAATGTTGATGAGCTAAAGTATTTTTTAAGCTCACTTGTGTTGGAATCAGCACATGAAAAGTTTGAATTCTGAAAAAGGCCAGACATTAACGAGGTTCAGTGGCGTAACTAGAACGATAATTGGGGGGGGGGGGGGAGTATGTTTAGTCATATATTCAGTTCTGCCCGATAGATTCTTATTGCATTAAGAAATTGCGCTTACTGAAAAATAGAAATCTAGCTATTTAGCACTTAGAAAAAGAAATCCGTCGTACAGAACCAAGCGAATTATGAATAAACAAACCTGCTCTCTCCTTTTATAGGTGAAATCATCTCGCAGTACGGCAAGCATGGTTGACTAATATACAAATCGTGATAATATTTATAATATCAGTGCATGCATACTGATATGCGCTTTTGTTATCTTGGCACTGCAGTGTTGTTGTCCTAGTATAAACGGTATAAACTTGTAGTGCATGGTTGCACTATAGCTTGTATTCCTCCATGGACTATCCAGTTATGAGTGTAAAAATATTGCTAGAAATAATGAAGTATAATGTATAGTATTCAAATCGTATGTCTTGACAGCACCTATAGCTGTTTTGACTACATGGCGTGAACTTGGTTCTCACCCAAGATAGCAATGAATAACCAATATTGACCCCTTTAGCTCCCCTATCATTCCATATTTAACACGTACTGATTTCAATGCAGTAAGCTTGCCTTGCTCCACGGCATTCTCTCAAAAATTAAGATTACCTACGACTGTCTATGTTGCGACTGTGACTAAGGAATATATGGAAAAAAATTTTGTCGCCGTCTCAAGTTTTCACTAATACGCTAAAAAATGCTTTTAAATAATCTGGATTGGAATTCTTAAAAAATCGTCATACGACACGGAAATAAATGTGCCTCTAATCTGCAGCTGATCGATATTTCAAATCCTTTAAACCCTTTCAAATCCTATATATCCTAGCTGTTAACTCGACTGCATTTAACTCGATTTAATTCGAGAGTAGCTACATAACAAGACTTTCGGTTTAAAATTTAAAATCAGTGCTATACAGTTCTGAAATCTATAAGAGATGTCTCAACTCTCAAGTCTCAAACGAACTTTATCGAGTACGGTACGGTACGGTATAATCCGATCAATTCATGCCCTGTATAGCTTCGTGGATTTTTTAAACAGTTCATATCAGACCTAAGCCTATAGTTAAACCGTGGTAATCCGCGGTATATATATATAATTAAAAGCAACCTGTCATACTAAAATAAAATTGGCCAAGAAACACATTAGCTTGAATCAACTGAAAAACTTGTAGCAATCATATAGGTTTTTTATCAAAATCAAAATATAATAAAGGCCTATAACATTTAGAGTGCTTCAGGTTTTTTAAATGGTCGCTATGAAGTGCTAAATTACATCCTCTGTGCTTGCTTAATTGTCCTGAACATATATATTCATGAACCACTTAGCTTCACGCATCTCATCTCAAAGACTTCATTAAGCTAATGTCAGGGATCACAAAAGGTAAAGCCATGCAGTTTTTAACAGAGAGCTCTAAATAGACGAGAACAACAGTCAACAAATAACACCGGGTGGCGCAAAAAGAAGGTTAACCTGTTTGATTGAGTATATAACTCAAAACAGATTAGCCTTTTTTCTGCTTAAGGTTCGAGTAAACGTTTCATTTCAAATGTCTAAGCCACAGGGAATGTTTTAACAACTAAAAAGTGATAACTGTCATCTTCAGAGCAAAAGGTTTTTCGCTAGTATTTGGTATACGTGATTTAGGTCTCCTGGTATAATAGCTGTTTCTTTCTGTTATACCCTTTTTATTCGTCGATAATTACAGCATTTGCTGATCATTCAAGTGAAAAGGGAAATCATTACAATGATTTCCATTTCAATTACACGTTTTTAATTTACAAAAGAGGCAACTTACATTCAATTTAGCCTCCTCCACAGGCATCTCTTATGTAACACATAATTATTCCATTTAACGAAAATCGATAGCGCGAAACGAATTGACCATAACAAAAAAGATGGCGGATGTACATTTTACCAGAATGCATTGCGGTCAGAAATCGTTTAAAAAAGCGAACTGACCTGTTTTAAAGGACAGGCATAAAACAGAAAGTTATTTTCTTCGCTGTGTTAAAATTTCACATCGTTAGCAGTTCTTCTTGCCATCTTTTTTCACTCAATCATTCTTAATGCCCGCAATGCATTCTGGTAAAATGTACATGCCGATATCTTTTTCGTTACGGTCAATTTCAATAACATTTTTGAAAACTGGTTTACCATTGTTGCACGAGCAATACGATTACACCAAAATACATTTACACAACATTTTCATTAAAACGCTTTAGCATCGTATTAAGTAATTCCTTGAGCGGGTATAAATTACGATGTTCAGCTGCCGCATCTTGCTCTGTTTGATCCACTTCGAAACATTCAACATGGTTGAGCGACTGCAAAGAATGAGGATTTCTCAAGACGATAGGAATAGGCTGGTCCCTTCTTCCGAAGATCCGAATCAAGATTATCTTGCCATGGCAAAAACGTACGTTTTAGGTATCAATAGATCTACAGCACGTACAATAGTTCGAAGATATCTACAGCAAAATAGGGAAGACGAAAGGCCACGCGTTGGCCGAAATAACGTGAAAGAAGATGTTGAGATGACGATGTGTTTAGAAGAAACTGTCAACGAAAACCCTACGTTAACCCTGAAAGCATTGAACTCAGAGTTACATCACCAGCTACCGGAAAAGCCTTATATTCATGATCGAACTATTGCTACTCATCTTCGTGCGGGTAACAGTTTTTATACATAATCCAGCCGGAAAACACGTGACCACGAGGCGACCAATCACCACTAGGCTAAGCGCTAATTACGCAAAAAGTAACTTAATTAAAGAGATAAATTTGGAAAAATGTGCTATTTTCTTCCACCCCTGTATAAACCGGATTGTACTTATAAATCAGTGCGGCTCGTTCTTCCTTTCCAGACGAAAAGCGGTTCTTGTTATATTTTGCTTCATAAACAAAGAAATTGGAGAAATATTGACTTAACTCAATTGACGCGTAAAAATGTGGAATAGCTTTTTCGCACGCCCACTCAAAGGGAGGCTTTTCTGGGTGCCATTGCGTAGAATAAAACGGATATTTTCTTGCTTCCATCGTCGAAACAAACTCTAAACCTCGTCGATCGCGATTTGTTGTAAGAACTCTGTAAAACTTTCTTAGCTTTTTACTTTCTCTGAATGATTTCAGTGGAATCGATAGTTCGTGAAAATGCGTGGTGATCGACGTCCCGTTGAACAATTTCAACCGTTCGCCGGAAATATCCCGGAATAGTTTACTTTTGCGGTAATTTTTTGGAATATTTAGAGGTGCTGTCATGTTAAGGGAGTCAGTCCGGATACGAATATCTCTGTTGTCATTCACCAGCGTCGCAAGGACCTGGTGTCCAAGACATATGCCCATTATTGGAAAGTATCCTCCCTCGTCGTACGTCGCTTTAGCTAACTCGAATATGGTTCGGGAAACGTTGGCGAAACCCGAAGACGTAATATTGACTATTCCGCCTGGGAAAACGGCACCATTAATAGAGTAGAATAGCTTTGTGGTTTCCGTCTTTGTTAGGTTATTGAATATTGGAACGACACGCGCGCCTGATGCTTCGAGAAACTTCACGTACGATGCTGAGATGTAGTTTCTACCACGACCTTCAAACGACATGTTGAAAGTGGATTGGGCTAAGATTCCTATTATAGGCCTGCTGGTTTGAATCTCACGTCGAATGCCGTTACCATACGTGAACAGAAACAGTAAAATCTGTACATAAAATATCGCCATTTTTTTAATCTGAATCGTCTCCATGACTATAAAATTGATCAAAATATTGCTATGAATCTCGCAATAGAATTTAGTAAATATAATATATCAATATATATTAATTGTGAGTACAGTCTTGCAGGTGGAATACAAGTGGTCTTTTCAGCAATCGCAAACTTTTGTCATATATTTTGTCATGTATGCAAAAGCTGTTATAATCTCCAAACATGTTAGCTGCCTGAGGATCACAGAGAGCGACAATGTTAGTAGAAATTTTAGTAGCCTGAGAATTGCCGCAAAAATAGCCTCGAAAATATAATTTATGGCCCCTTTAGATTGGGCCGGGGGTGTAAATTTGATTCAGGAAAGGTGTACAAATTATGCTCGCATATCCGACTGATTTCCTTTGTATACTTCATCGTTTGACCGACTGGTTGTAAACATGAATATATGGAAATACACCCGCCCCCTTAATTTTCTTTGTCATTTCAATTTTCATAAAGAATATTTCTTAATCTAACAGAGCCGTTGTTAGACCTCTTAATTTCGGGGGAGGGTGATATTCATATATTTATGTTTATGTACCGTGGAGACAATAACGTTATGCATGAGAAATTAGTCAAGCTTAAGACGAATATTGAATATAAACCTGCGCACCAATTAAGCTTCTAGCTACGGCCCCATCATCGTATACAGGGTGTCCCGAATTTGTTAGTATAGCCACAAATGACTTTTATCACCTCAAGCACCATGACCTTCGACATGTCCTTAATTCTTTAGCAAATTATTAATTTTTGTTGGCCTGTCTAAATACTATTTTATATTTAGCATTGTATAAGTTGCGTTAGTCCCCACAAGAAAAAGTTCGCGAACAAGTTATTCAAATTTTAACAATATGTCATTTCAATAGTTTTGGTGTTTTGGGGACACCCTGTAGAGCGGATACTATTGGTTTACCTGGTTTTCATTTTGTGAAACTGACAAACGCGCTCTTTTTAACTCTCATGCACGCAGCGATAAAACTAAGGGGCTGTTTAAATTATGGGAGCGACGCTGGCTCGGTCAGCGAGACATCCGGGTAGACGGGATGAACTTTCCTCTGTTTCATTTAATCAATTGTCATAACACAATCACTACGCAGATACATGTACAATAACAGGCAACGAAAAGGAATGGAGGAGAGGAACAGAGAAAATGAACAGAGAAAAAGAACAGAGGAAAGGAACAGATGAAAGGAACAGATGAAAGGAACAGAGGGAAGAAACAGATGAGAGGAACAGAGGGAAGGGACAGAGGAAAGGAACAGATGGGAGGAACAGAGGGAAGGAACAGAGGGAAGAAACAGATGAGAGGAACGGAGGGAAGGAATAGAGGAAAGGAACAGAGGAAAGGAACAGATGAGAGGAACAGAGAGAAGGAACAGAGGGAGGGGACAGATGAAAGGAACAGAGGGAAGAAACAGAGGGAAGGAACAGAGGGAAGAAACAGAGGGAAGGAACAGGGGGAAGGAACAGAGGGAAGGAACAGAGGAAAGGAACAGAGGAAAGGAACAGATGAAAGAAACAGAGGGAAGAAACAGAGGGAAGGAAAGAAGGAATGGAACAGAAGGAAGGAACAGAGGGAAGGAACAGAGAAAGGGAGAAAGGAACAGAAGGAAGGAACAGAGGAAAGGAACAGAGGAAAGGAACAGAGGGAAGGAACAGAGGGAAGGAACGGAGGGAAGGAACAGAGGAAAGGAACAGAGGAAAGGAACAGAGGGAAGGAACAGAGGAAAAGAACGGAGGAAAGGAACAGAGAGAAGGAAAGAAGGAATGGAACAGAGGGAAGGAACAGAGGGAAGGACCAGAAGAAAGGAACAGAGGGAAGCCGGAACAGAGGGAAGCCGGAACAGAGGGAAGGAACAAAGGAAAAAGAGGAGTGACAGAGGAAAGGAACAGGACTTGCGTCCCATTGACATCTGACTCCAACATTATATCTAGACTTTGCCACTGTCTTGTTGCCCAACAAGCGCAATGATAACTTTCTTTATATGAGAGAATTTCATCCCGCTGACCCGCTTGCCGGTATAGAGATTATTTACATGGCTTTAGTTGGCTATGCGTTAAATGTACGTTGCCACCGATTGTTCGTCCTTAGTCATGTAGTGTTCAAAACTATAAAAGAAACGCGGAGAAATATCTTCCACCTCGGTTACCGGGCCTGACCCGTTTGGAGTGCTTATATGAGAACCTTTTTATCCCCCTAAGCACAAAGTATCTATCGGGGGCCAGTTGTGTAAAAGACTAGTTATTTTTAACTGTAGTTAAGGGCAGAATTGGCCAATCGGAGTCGTGTATTTCTGAGTTATAACTGGCATTAAATATGCAAAATGTAGTTAAATAGTTTTGTAAAATCCGCCCGAGAAGGACAACGTGAGGGGGTGACTGCTTCCATTTACGGTACTTACTGAGTCACGGAAAAAGCAATGGGGTTGCCTTTCTGATAAGTATCCTGTGCCCTAAGAGAGATCTCGCCTCTTTCGAGCGGGATTTCGCCAAGTGGTCCAGCACGCTTGATCATAAAAACGCATAATTTTGTCAGGAATTGTATTCATGGCGAGATCTCGCTAAACGGGCCAGCCATACGCCCACGGCTCCAATATAAACAGCCCCTAAGGCCATAATGATTGATATAGAATATAAACTGATGTTTGGGCACTAAAGTCCAGAATAATTTTGCCCCAAAAATGGACGGTTCACTGAATCTGGGGAGATTTGACGTATATAACATCCCATGTGTGAATAGGGATGGATTTGACTTGCAGAGAAACCGTTCGCTTGCGATTAATTTTAACAGCGAGCATTTTCGCTCGAAGTGACATTTTACGTCTCAGTGCAGAGCTCTCAACTGCAACCATCTGAAACAATTGAAATTGCTCAAATACGAAAAAATATTTTCGCACATCGCCCGAAAAATATGGAAAACCGGCTTTAGTTGCTGTTTGGAAGAGTGAACTCTTATAAATTTTATTAATTTACTGTAAAGAGCTGTGTGTTTCAAATTAACCGTCACTGATGCTTAGATATACTTTGAATAAAATTCATGTTGCCTTAAAGAGGCTTCTCGCTGCCACTGTTGATTTCGCTAAAATATTAATTCAATAAATAGCGAAGACTTTTCTCGTATTTGACACATAATTCAAGAAGTGTACATTATGTCGGAGTAATTACTTCATGACTTGCCGTCCGTTAAAGTTTTATCAGTTAACAAATTTGTAAAATGTTAGTTACGTTTTTATGAATATAATCATTTAATTGAAAATATAAATTTGGGAGAAAATGTTAAATTCATCTATCCCAGTAAATATTGGATTGTAATTAAAGATTAATGCGGCTCTTTCTTCCACTCCTGACGAAAAGCGGTGGTTGTTATATTTTGCTTCTTTTACAAAGAAATTTGAAAAATATTGACTTAACTCAATTGATGCTGGGAAATGTGGAATGGCTTTTGCGAGCGCCCACTCATAAGGAGACTTTTCTGGGTGCCATTGCGTTGAATAAAACGGATATTTTCTAGCTTCCATCGTTGAAACATATTCCACGCCTTGTCGATCACGATTTGTTGTCAGAACTCGATAAAAATTTCTCAGCTTCTCATTTTCTTGGAATGTCTTCAATGGAAACGACATTTCGTGAAAATGGGCGGTGATTAACGTTTGATTGAACATATTCGCTCTTTCTTGTGTCATATCTCGGAATAATTTAGTGTCGCGGTAATTTCGTGGAAGATTTAGAGGGGCTGTCATGTTATGGGAGTCGGTCAGGACACGGATATCTCTGTTAACTACAAATGCCGCAAGTATCTGGTGTCCAAGACACATTCCCATGATTGGAAAGTAACCTCCATTATCGTACGTCTTTTTCGCCAGCTCAAATATTGTCCTCGAAACGTTAGCGTAACCCGAAGACGTAATATTGACTATTCCACCTGGAAGAACAGCACCATTAATGGAGTAGAATAACTTTGTAGTTTCTTCTTTCGTTAAGTTATTAAAGATAGGCACCACACGCGCGCCTGATGCTTCAAGAAACTTCACGTACGATCCCGGAAGGTAGTTTTTACCCCGCCATGCAAACGACATATTGAAAGTGGATTGCACCATGAGTCCTATTATCGGCCTGTCTGTTTGAATTTCACGCCGTGTTCCGTCAGGAATGGCGAAAACAAACAAAAAGGACAACAATAAAAGTTGTGGATAAAATATCGACATCTTTTCATCTAAATCAATGCTCTTTGCGATGAGCAACCTTGTCCGAGCAATTGTGAAAATATAATGTCGGATTTAATATTTCATGTTCAAATTTGAAAACCAATTTAAGCTCACTGGTGCAATACAAGTGGTTTATTCAACTTTTACAAACTTATGGCAGGTTATAACAAGCTTGTATATGCAAGGAATTGAGGATAAAAGTGGTCTAAGGGGGTTATTTCTCCGACCTCCTCAAGGCTTTTATAGGAAGTAATCATGAGGAAGCCTGCAGACTAAAACTAGGTCTCAAAAAGTAATCGTTTGAAATCCAAGATGGTGGGTAACAGAGCCACACATAATTATTGCGACCTCGCCAAAATATACTTGTCGTGCTTCACATTTCTTTTGAAATTCTGCACAGCGGAGAACGTTTTTAACGCAGAAAAATTTACATATATCAACAGCGACATATTGATTTTATAGAACAACTTCTTTAGTTGTCCTGTTCCACTTGACTGTCTTCGAAAAAAGATAAATCTTCCGAAAGGACTATAAACAAAACTCGTTGTAAATAAAACTGCATACTAAAGGACCCGTACGCAGTGGCGTAGCCAGCCCGACAATTTAGTCATACTATGCTAATTATCTGGTGTTCATTGACTGTGAAAACAATGAATTTATAAAGAAATGAATAATGGTAATAACATAAAATTTGCATAGCATGGCTAAATCATCAGGCTGGCTACGCCACAGCATGCTCGCATCATCTTGTCATTTCACTGACATGTGATCAATGTTCGTCCGGCGTAAGCGAGGAAGATGGAAAATGGACAAAGATTTTTATTTTTATTGTTGTTATTATTTTTTTTAATTCGTCGTCAAATATGTGTCGTGGCACAAAATATATTTTAAAATTATCATCGGCTAATTTGTATTCAGGGATTGCCTGGACCCACAATGCGACGCTTGCATGTGGGCGTGTTTATCCGCGCTAAAATGTTGGTCTGAAATCGTTGTGGTGCGCTTATCAATTTGGCGGCACAATTGTCTAAAGGCCCTGTCACACGGTGAAATTTTTCTTTCAACTTGCAATGCAATTCTACTTGATACGTAAATTAACGAAGAGTCTGGCAAAATGTAATTAGAAGGAACGTCCATAAACGTTTCGTAGTACCAAATTTGCATCTCTTAAAAGCAAAATTGCATTGCAAGTTGCATGAACAATTGCACCGTGTGGTTATATTTTCTATTCATACGCGAGATAGCGGGTAACTATAAATAGTTTATTTACTGTTCTTAGAGTAACCGTTTGTTTTATGGATTCTTCTTCGCCTTGAAATCCTCGTTGCTGTGTTTTGTCTTCTTCGTCTGTCGTTGTCTAGTTCAGTTTTCTCAAACGTTTCATATGCCTTTTCTACGTTGAGACCACTCACTGAACTAACTACTAACTAATTAACTTATGACTTACTAATAATTAACTTACTTTTTCTCTTACTTACTGCTCAGGTTGTGCAGGCTTTTTTATAACGGTTGAGTCGAATGAAATTTTATAGTTAGTGATTAGATTCACATAAGAGTTTGCATGTGCCTGAAGCATGCGTATTTTTTACCGTGACAGTTGAACTTGGCAATGACATACGAGATTTAGTCCAAAAAATTTTTACAGGATGTTGACCCATGAAGCCTCGTGCGTGGAAGGAAAAGTAATTAATGACTGCAAATAGGCGAAAATTGTAGTTACCAATGCGTGGTTTATTATTTCATGTGCAAATTTTAAAACCAATTTAAACTCACTGGTGCGATACATGTGGTTTATTCAACTTTTATAAATTTATGGCAGGTTATAAGAATTATAATAATAATAAAAAGAAAAAGAATAGTTTATTAATTTACACATATTCTTGCACAAATTGTGAAATACAAAAAAGTTTTCTAATAATTAATTCATATTTAATAAGTAAGAGCTATTCTATATTTACAATAGACAATTAGAACGTTAATTCTATAACCTATTGACCAACGGAAATATATATATTTACAAGTTAAGTCACCATCCAAGTCGCACTTAGGTGTATGACCATAGGCCGTGCTTGCTGGGAAAAAGCTGTTTTATCAGTACCTGTCAGTCCGACATTTAGCCGTTGTGTTCTCAGGGTAATGCACGTAATAACACTGTCTTCACGTGTAGGAGGGACTAAATGATGGAGGCGGGAGTCAGGGTCCCTAATATTTTTTAGGAATTTGGAGCAGATTTCCGAGCGTCTACTATCGAGTCGGTTACAATTCGCTATTGTTAATGCGTCGCTGTAATGAAGACCGGGAAATACAATGTCAATGCGCATTACTCGTTTCTGTACACACTCTATCTTTTTGCAAAGATATTCTGGAATATTATTCCCCCACACCACGCAACAATACTCGGCGAGTACTGATCTCACCAAAGCGTAATAAATGTGAACCAATTCTTTGGCTGGAACCCCATGCAGCTCGTTTAAGGAACTAGATAATATGTAGCCGTTTGCGATGCTTAATTTGGCGATAACTCCAGTAACATTGGTATTCCATTTAAAATATCCATCATAGTGAGGCCTAACAATTCATGAGAGGATACTTTCTCTAGAGGGACACTGTTTACCATTAGAGGGGCAACATTCGGTTTATGTTGTAGTGGGCATACAAGCATTTCCTTAGGTCTTATTCTCATCAGACCATGTTGCAATTATACCAGATCTGTTTGCAAGT